GTATGCTTTAGGGGTAAGCACCAGCGAGTTTGTAGTAACCTCGTATTTGTTCACTGCTGTTGCCTAAGATTAGAAACATCTAGTCAGTATTGTTAAGCAGTTGCTCCTATATCATTGTGGTGTGAGCTGGGTGCTTAAGTCATCTGGTGTTTCCCTAACAGTGGCTGCACTGTGACATTAAGACTCAGCCTCTGACTGACATGGTCCTTAGCTTTTATTCTTCCTCGCTGTAATAAATAGCAGACCTAGCATGGTATCAGGGATGCATGCATAGTCAACTGCTTTCACATTTGAGTCTTAAGTCTTGTCTCATTTCTTTCTTGTAGCATTTCCTTTATTCCTGTATGTAATCGATTCTGAAGAAATGTTAATTTTACCTCTCAAATTTCCTGCGTTTTCATTAATTAAAAATGTTAATAATTTTATTTTATGTCTACTTAATTTCTTTTACATAGTTGACTAAACATTGAACTCATGGTCCATAGCATTTTGACTATATGTCTGAATGAAGCTGATTTAACACACTTTTCCAGAAGGCACACCACACCTGTTTGTATATAGAAATGCTAGGGAGTACTTTCAGTTATACGTGGGGACTCTATTAAACAGCAAAGCCATCAACAGTGTAAATGTGAACCACAGGACTCTAGTCTGTGAAGAGAGCTGTTTGCATAGACCAGGAGGCAGAGCTCCTTGCAGTGAAGAGTGTTGGTTGACTTCATCTGTCATCACTTTCTAGCTGTCTGCACGTGGTTGCAAAGTAGGGGGAGTATTTGTGTAGTTCTTACTAATTTAACAAATGGATTCACAGGGGTGAGCCTTGGGGAGTATTTGTGTAGTTCTTACTAATTTAACAAGTGGATTCACAGGGGTGAGCCTTGAGTAGTAAGGACTGACCGTGTTTACCCCTTCCCGTTTCTGTTGGTCACTCAGTCTACTTTGTCTTCTGTATGCTTCGATAGTTCTCAGACCCTGTCTCTCATCCAGCTAAACTGATGGTTGGCTCTTTCCAGAGCGTGGGTTAGTTATAATGCTTCTTCTGGAAGGCACTTCTAGTTCTTTCTCTTCCTCACTGTCCCATATGCCTTTTGGTAGTTTCCCATTGCACTTAGTCTAAAATCTAAAGTCCTACTATGTTATTTATACAGATCTTTTAAATTGCTGTCTCTTGCTTACCTGACATCATTTTTTTCCCCTTTCCAGAATAATTTTGTCTTGTCATTATTATTCTCAGTTTTCCTTGTTGTGGAGCCCTTATTCCTGTTTGCTGGGCATCTTATCTGGATGTGGTCCTTTCTTTTAAATGTCTAAATTTTTAAATGTTGTGTGTGTGTGTTTCTTCGTATATTTGTGTGAATGGATGTGTATAAGCCTGTGTCTGGGGATGGGGACGTCCTATACAGACCAGAATAAGGAATTAGAGCTCTTGGAGCTAGAGTTAACAGTTGTGAGCCCACTGGGTGTGGGTGGGTGCTGGGATCCAAACTCAGGTCCTTATGGCTGAGCGCTCTTGTCCACTTAACCATCTCTCCATCTGAAGTACTTTTTTGTTGTTGCTGTTGTTTTGTTTTTTGAGGCAGGGTTTCTCTGTGTAGCCCTGGCTGTCCTGGAACTCACTCTGTAGATCAGGCTGGCCTCGAACTCAGAAATCCGCCTGCCTCTGCCTCCCAAGTGCTGGGATGAAAGGCATGCGCCACCACTGCCCGGCATCTGCAGTATTCTTGATACATTGCTTTACTCTGTAGTATTTATCTCAGTTCATGATTATGCAAATGCTCGGTCATATATGGAGCTTTACAATGTAATATTTCCCTTACTAGATTGTGCTGTAAATTCTGAAACAATAGGGACTTGCATCTGATTTGGCTAGCCCATGTAACCTGTAGCAGTTTGTAGAATGCCTGGTATGTTGATTTCTCAGTTTGTGAGTACTGAGTACTTGGGACTGTTTCCAGCATTAGCCTGCATTTCCATTATCCCTGATGAAAGTTTTCTCCCCTTGTCTCTGTGCTCTAGACACACTGAACAGCCTAAACAGCTAGGCAGCCCTTTATTCCCGGAGGTGTCTGCAGTTCCCTCCAGCACCCTTTGCAGATGGAAAGATCAAGTCCCAGGACTACTTTCCCACCTCCGCTTGTGCCCTGAGATCTCAGATCTGAAGTAGCAGATGCCTTGTGTGGTGCAATTGTTTGGATGGTCAGAGTAAGAGTTGTTTTGTTAAGACAGGATCTCAAGTAGCTTTGTCTAGTCTCAGACTCGGTGTAGCTGAGTATGACCCTGACCCTGCTCCTTCTGAGCACACCTCCCGGTTAACAGGGTCTGAGAACTATCGAAGCATACAGAAGACAAAGTAGACTGAGTGACCAACAGAAATGGGAAGGGGTAAACACGGTCAGTCCTTAGTCCTCAAGGCTCACCCTTGTGAATCCACTTGTTAGATTAGTAATTGTAGGTGTGCATTGGCATGCCTGTGTGCTTCTTATTTTTAGTAAGATGAACATACTTGAAACTTTAGATAAAACTAATAAACTCTTGAAAAAATTGTGAGTATGAGATTGTCTGTGTCTGTCCCAGCAAATGAGAAGAAGACTGTGTGTGTGCCATCTCTGCCTTTGAGTAAAAGAATGTATCCATTCTTTTATCTAGTAGAGCCATTAGAACAAACGAACACCTTGTTATTATTTGAATGTATCCATTCTTCTGTCCAGTGGAACCATCAGCATCGCAAGCACCTTGTTATTTGGATTGTCTACTTTTTAACGTACATTGATGATTATTGTTACTGAACTGGACAGTTGGCATTATATAAACCACAAGGGGTTGTAAACTACTATTAAACATTTACTGTATCTAAGGAAAGCAATTTAAGATGTTTTCAAAGCTTTGTGTGGTGGTTTGACTAAGGATGGCCCCCATAGGCTTCTAGTTCAATGCTGGGTCACCAGGCTGTGGAAGGGTGTGAAAGGAGCATACAGATTAGGGTGGATGGCCTTGTTGGAGCAGGTGTGTCACACTGGGTAGCTTTGAGGTTTTAAACGCCAAATCCAGTCTCTTTCTCTCTGCCTGTGGATCGGGATGTAAAACTTGCATGCGTGCTGCCACGCTCCCCTCTGTGATAATGGACTCACACCCTGAAACTGTAAGGAAGCCCCTAGTTAAATACTTTTCCTTATTAGAGTGGCCTAGGACATGGTGTCTCCTCACAGCAGTAGAATGGTGACATAGACATTTTTATACCTGCATTAAAATGTGCTGTGCAGTTTTTCCCACTTCAATATATTAATCAAAACTTGGATTTTAATATTATTTTGTTCTTTTATTTTATAATGAGAAGAGCTTCAAAAAGTACCTGACTTATTTCCTATTGTCTCAATGTGAACATAAGGGTTTTTTTTTTTTTAAGCAGTTTTGTGGAACTTGACAAAATCTGTGCTTTCATGTAGTTTAAAACTGACATTGTTGTTAAATGAATATTGTTCTCAATTATTAAAATTATCCTAAAATTCCTTATATTAACCACGTACCAAATTGTCTTACCACCATTACCATACAGCTTATTGCCCATATTGCCTGGTTATCTTCCTACTTCTTTGTAATTAGAGCTGGTTTTTTCAGTTTAAAAGAGATTTTGGCGTTTCTCTGTTAAAAAGGTTTTTTTCTTGGGGGGGGTGTTTGTTGTTTTTTTTTAAGTGGGTCTTATTCAAATAAAAGAAAAAGGATACTAAGTATCTGTCATTTCAGTTAGACTGTTCTCATAGTTGAGAACCAGGAAGTAAGGGAACCATTCATTTGGCTTTAAACAGTTCTTAGTGCTTTATTTAAATGGGATTACACCATATCCAGGGACATTAATTTTAAACAATAAATTTTCTTTAGCCTAGATGGGGAAGGGGGGGAAAATTTAACACTTTGTATTTTCCTTTACTGAATATTCAACCCTTTTAATAAATCTGAGATCAAATGATAGATCACTTTTATCTATCCTCAGTCTGTTTGATTTTAAACCTTCCTTTGTGGTTCTTTTGTAAAGTGTGTGTGTGTGTGTGTGTGTGTGTGTGTGTGTGTGTGTGTGTCTACATGTATCTCTGTATCAAATACATGCCTGGTGTCCACAGAGGTCAGAAAAGGTGTCAGATCCTGTGGGACTGGATTTACAGACAGTTGTGAACTGCCTTGTAGCTTCCAGGAACCAAACCCAGGTTCTCTAGAAAAGCAGCAAGTACTCTTTAACATGAGTAAGTCGTCTCTCTAGACCCTGCCCTTGGTCTTGAGGGGGAAGGAGGGATACTTCAGGTGGAGCAGCTTTCTAGAATCACTTCTTCACCATTTTGATAATACACTTTTATAACTAGTAATTTGTATATGTAATTCAGGTTTTTGTAGTGTATAACCCCCCAGTTCAACATATCCAAGGAAGGTATTCTTAATATTTATGGTTAAGGTTATTGTAAATAAAATTAAAATCCCATGCAAAGAATATGGAGCTCTCTCCCACACCTCACAGAAGTCGTGCAATTAATGAGAATGGAAGAACATTCATTTAAGTCTTAGTAGTAAGTTTGCAATCAAGAGTACACTGGGATAATAATTTTGGCTAGTGTAAGGGCTGTTGGCACTCTCAAGATCCTGGGAGGGCTAAAGAGGGAGTGGATTAGAGACTGAGCGGGTGCTGCTCTGACAGAGGACCAGCACCCACATGGCGGCTTACAACCATCTAACCCCAGTTCAGGAGGTCAGCAGGCACACATGTAGTGCACATACATGCATGCAGGCAAGCCATTCATACACATAAAAGTATAAAGAAAAGAAATTTTAAGTGCCTGTTTTTTAAGTATATTCCATTACCTTTTCTTTGTGGCGTTTAAATTTACGGTGACTTAAATAGATGAATTTTCATAATATACTGTGTTCCTTTTGCAGAATAAAACATCACTGAATATGAAAAAAATCTGTTTTGATGCTTTAAATCCTTTTGATTAACAAATGTTAATTATTGATAGGTTTATGGCTACAAATGATCTGATGACAGAACTGCAGAAAGACTCCATCAAGTTGGATGATGACAGCGAAAGGAAAGTCGTGAAGATGATTCTGAAGTTGCTGGAGGATAAAAATGGTGAAGTGCAGAACTTAGCTGTCAAGTGGTAAGCTGTACTCTCTGCTTGCTCATGCCGTACAAGCTGGTATTCTAAGGCTGACACTGTTTTCCTTAGCTGGGAAACTTCCTTATGGAATTTTAATTACTAGTATATGTTGACTAATTGCATATGATTAATATGGGATATTTCCACTGCTGAATCTAAATTGTTAGTGTAGCCTTTTATGAGATTATTTAACTATTCCTCTAACAAGGCCACACCTACTCCAACAAGGTCTTGAGAGAAATCAAGAAATAATACATTATTTTTGGTCTGTGTTTGAAAGCCCTACTCAGTTGAACTGAAGTTTAAAACCAGACATTCAAGTGAAAAAGAACACTTAAATTTTAAAAATGACAGCAGTAAAGACTGTGTGTGCAGATCACAGGAGGCAAGAGGATCACACGATTATAAAGAATCTGCCTGAAATTGCAGGAATTGCCATTGTCTCCTAATGTTGCCTGATAGTGTCATCTGATGAGCACTTCTTACGAGTTAGGATCTTGGCTGTTGTGTTTGTTATTTTTAGAGTATAGAATTTGAGTCTTCAGAAGATTCTTTTTTTTTTTTTTTTTTTTGGTTTTTCGAGACAGGGTTTCTCTGTATAGACCAGGCTGGCCTTGAACTCAGAAATCCACCTGCCTCTGCCTCCCAAGTGCTGGGATTGAAGGTGTGCGCCACCACTGCCCGGCCAGCAAATTCTTTTTGAACCAATTTCAGTCGTACATATTAATTCCAGGTACTCAGGAGGCCAAAGATGGCCAGACTGAAGGCCTACCTGGGCAATTTAGTAAGACCTTGGCTCAGAATAGGAAGTAGACTGCTAGTTGGAATGGCCCAGAAGTTGAGGGTTTGCCTAACATGTGTGGCATCTCAGCTCCTTCCCTAGTATTGTTGACAATCAATGACCAAGTTAATAAGTCATTTTAATTTGTGGGTGCTAAGTTTCAGAAACTGATGTTTCCTTTGTGGAGTTCTGTGTCACTGTATACGTCATTCAGTATTGATTTAAAGCATTGTCCCATTATTACCTTATTGGATTTGTATAAAACTTTCAAATTGGTTTTCATCTAGCTATTTGCATTTCTGTCTGTAAGAAAGGCCTGTAAAAGGTGAGAGATCATTGGCAGATATAAGAACCTCTAGACCATGGTGCTGTTTTATTTAACCTTGAGGCCTTGTGAGTTTAAAATAAACAGGTCTGTCAGAGGTGCTTTGTGCTTGGTGGGATGGGATGGCTCAGCACATAGAAGTGCTGGCTGCCAGGCTTGAAGTCTTAATGAAATCACCAGTTCCCACGTGGTAGAAGAAGAGAGCCAACTCCCACAATTTGTCTTCTGACTTTCACACACACTCACACACTCACTCCCCATATATATATAATGTGTGTGTGTGTGTGTGTGTGTGTGTGTGTGTGTGTGTGTATATATGTGTGTATATATATATATATGTATATATATATTATAAAAACATTTAAAGTGATATAGGATGTACAGATGATTGGTATAGGAACCTGAATCATTTGGAGGGTTGTTTTGTTTTGTTTTGATTTTTTTTGTTTTTTGTTTTTTTTAGACAAGGTTTCTCTGTGTATCTCTTGCCTGTCCTGGAACTCGCTTTGTAGACCAGGCTGGCCTTGAACTTGATCCATCTGCTTCTGCCTTCCGAATGCTGGGATTAAAAATGTGTACCACTGTGGCTGATAAATCTTTTTATCCTTTGATGATCTCTGTGTTTGTATTTGTATTACAGTTGAGGTGATTGGAGAGCTGAGAGTGCTACTTGGTGGTAGCATTCTTGCTGAGAATGTGTGTCCCTGGTCATCCCTAATGCTATAAACACTTATGTCCATGAAGGACTTAGCATACAAGCAGATAGGACTGTTCAGTTCCTTTTTCTGTTGCGATAATAAATCACCAGCCAAAGGCAACTTGGAAGGTTTTTATTTCATCATATAGGTTACAGTCCATCATGGAGCAAAGCTGAGACAGGACTCAAGGCAGGAACTTACACAGAAACTTCAGATCAAGCTACTGGCTTTCTCGTAGAGTTACATTCAGCTACTTTTTTTTATTCAGCCCAGGCCAGTTGCTTAGGGATGATCTGCTTAGCGATAATACTGCCCACCATGGGCCAACCCTTGACATCAGTTGACAATCAAGAAGATGCCTATAGTACTTACTGCTAGCCTACAGGCCAGTTCTAATGAAGGAAGTTCTTCTTCAATTGAGGTTCCTTCTTCATTCCGTCAAGTTCACAAGGTCACCTGTAATTGCTAAAACAAAAATCATGATCATGACTAAATAATAACTGATTCTTGGAGAAAAAAAAGTGGTTTATACATGAATGGCTGAACACGTTATGAAGAAAAATTGTCAGAGAACTTGATTACCACCCAAAAGAAAGGTTGAAGTCTTCCACAAATCCCTTTTGACTTAGTGTTTTACTACTCTGCACAGATACTGTGACCAAGGCAACCCTTAGAAGGACAGCATTTAATTGGCTCTGGCTTACAGATTCAGAGAGGTTCAGTCCATTATCATCAAGGCAAGAGCATGGCAGCATTCAGACAGACATTGTACAAGAGGAGCAGAGAGTTCTTCATCTTGTTCCAAAGGTAAACAGGAGAAGACTGGCAAGGTGAAGAGATATAGATAAATTGCTTTGACAAAAGAAGTCTCAAAACAGCCTGGTATAAATTCCATTTGTGTAGTTACTCTTATGAAGAACATTTAAATGAAAAGGAGTAGCCAGGCATTGGTGGCGCATGCCTTTAATCCCAGCACTTGGGAGGCAGAGGCAGGCAGATTTCTGAGTTCGAGGCCAGCCTGGTCTACAGAGTGAGGACAGCCAGGGCTACACAGAGAAACCCTGTCTCGAAAAACCAAAAAAAAAAAAAAAAAAAAACCGGCCAGGGGGGGGGGGGGGGGGGGGGGGGGGGGGAGGGAAGGAAGGAAGGAAGGAAGGAAGGAAGGAAGGAAGGAAGGAAGAAAAGGAATAAACTGAGAAAGGTAAAAATATAAAATGTATGGTTCAAGTAATAAAGGGGCACTTGAAAGTAAAATGGAGTTGAATTCTATGTCCAAGGAGATTAAACAGGCTAAGAGGAGAGTGGTGACAGTGACTTTGGGCCAAGATCCCACCCAAGCTTGGGGACCCAGCTAAGCTTAGGTCCAAGCAAGGTTATATACACTTTTAATCCCAGGAGACAGAGACAGGCAGATCTGAATTCAAGGCCAGCCTGAGACAGAGCAAGTTCCAAGTAGAGAAAAGCTTAAGTCCAAGCATTATGGTACATACCTTTGATCCCAGCATTAGGAGATGAAGAGCCATGCAGATCTCTGAGTTCAAAGTCAGTCTATAGAGCAAGTTCCAGGACAGCCAAGCTTGAGCAGTAAAGGAGTTGGAAAACAGAGAGCTGGTGATAGTATAATAGAATATTTTAGAGCCTAGGGGCCATGTCCCAGTTCCAGCAAGCAGCAAAACTCAACAGCTTTGGCCATTTGAGCCAAAGCTCAGTTTGCCTCTGGCTTTAGAATCAAGAACAGAAGGGACTGTGGTTAGCTGGAGCTAAGAAATTAGTGGTAATTAAGAAAAGACCAGCATCACTGAGGTGAAATCTTTTGGGAAGTGTTTTCTGAGAGCACAAAGAAACTGTTCCAGACATAGCCAAAGGTTGTACCTCATGTTCAGCTGGACTTGATAATGTGTAAGAGTCACCCAAGTGGTACTGGTTTTGAAGGCATGAAGGGTTGGTTCATGGAGAACAGCTGAGGCTTGGCACTGTGAGAGGCCAGGGAAGGCCATTGGTGAAGGAGCAGTTGACGGCCCAGGACTGAAGGCTCATGCAAAGTTGAGGCTTGGCACTGTGAAACCAGGCTATGAGAGGTTATTAATGAAGCCTGATTGCAGTGGAACACCCCAGTGTACTGGAAATGTCAGAACCAGATCACCAAGAACAGCAGAAGCAAGGAGTGGAGTGGAGTCAACCAGAGCCTTGAGTGCTATAAAAGGCAGAGCTGGAGATGTGACCCAAGCCTTTTGGAAGATCCCAGACATTGGAACAAGAAGCTGTAATGTTGAAGCTACCTTAGAGACCCCAAGATATTTGAAATGCCAAAGCTGTGGGATATCTGCTGAGGAAAGCTGCTAACAGGGAGTGGAACCAGCCAAAGAGAATTGTGCTGCAGTCAACAAAGTTGAAAGGAGTTTGAGATCTGAAGACCACTTTCACATTAGACGTGGAGATGCACAGTTCGGAGTTTTCCCAGATAATTTTTGGTCTTGTTTGTTCAAATATTTACTCAACTATGATATTCTGGAATAGCAAAAAGAAGCCATGTTCTTCACCAAAATGTCTCAAAAACAGTTTGTAGGCCACATACATTCTTCTGCATTGAAACCTGTTGGGCCAGCAGGCCTACAGAGTTCAAATCACCCTCAGCACCACTGTCTTCCAGATTCCTAATAGGATAACCCATTAAGCCCCCACTTAAAGGATTCCATGGCTTTCCAAATCCACATTGATCCAAACAAAAGCATGGTCAGGCCTATCACAGCAATACCTTAGTCCCTGGTACCAACCTCTGTCCTTGTTAGGGTCTTACTGCTGTGAGCAGACACCCTGACCAAGGCAACTGTTATAAGGACAGCATTGAATTGGAGCTGGCTTTCACTTTAAGGTTCAGTCCCTTATCATCAAGGCAGGAGGAGCATGGCAGCGTCCAGGCAGGCGTGGTGCAGGAGGAGCTGAGGGTTCTGTAGGCCTGCTAGAAGACTAGCTCCCATGGGGTTAGGAGGCTCTCATTGTCCACCCTCACAGTGACACACTTCCTCCATCAAGGCCACACTTCCAAATAGTGCCATTTCCTGGACCAAGCATACTCAAAACACCACGCCTTAGAAATCTGAAAGAGTGGGTGGTTTTATAGTTGTAGTACCATTCTAGAACAGTGACTAAATCTGAAAAGGTGCCAGACTTAATCCAGTTATTCTAATTACTGATAATGTATTTTGACTAAAGGTAACACAAAAAAGAGAAACTAGAGAGCAGATGTACATAAATACTCAAACTACAACATGCTAATGTTGAGACTATGGTACCACATAGCGGGTTTTCCCCAAGAGTGTAAGGGCGACTAGTGCTATTAGAGCCTGCATAGCTGCTCTGCCCAGTTAGCTGGTCACAGGAACAGATATCTTGTTAATAGTGACGACGTTGTTAAGGTCCCACACTGGGACTGACCAGTGGTATTGACAACTTTAATCCCCTCACACTCAGGAGTCAAAGGCAGGGCGGTCTCTGAGTTTTAGGTCAGCCTGGACTACACAGAGAAAAAAACTTGAAAAAAGTTTTTTCACATTGCTTATGGTTAAAAATGAAAATACTTTAGGCTACTTAACAGAATTACAGAAGGAAAACACATCTAGTAACCAGCATCATGCTTACAGTCACTAAAGGGTAGAGATCAAAGATGTCTCATTTCCTCTTAACAGATCTGCCGTCGTCTATTTCAGTAAAACAATTAAGAATATAGGAATTGGCAGGTTCTTGTTTGGAGGTTCCAGCAAGGGATCACAGCTACTCCCGTTCCCTTGACTGAAGACCCAGTATTCATCTTGTCAGGGAAGGTTGTCTTCAGCTGAGGGCGCAGCAGCTTCCAGAGGGACACACATGGAACAGGGAAGGAGGGGACACATACCCCTGCAGCTAAGTAGGGTGACATGTCACAGCCAGATGACCCTCAAATCTGTAGGTTTTTCTTTAACGTTAAAAGTTAAACCAGCTAATATGGTGCAACCGAATTCCCACTTAGAGATTGAGGTTAGCCCAGGTTTGTTTTGAGGGAGTGAGGCACTGTAAAACAAGAGAGGAGCTTCTCTTAGAAGAAACTAAGGTAGCTGTTCACTGCTTCATAGAAAAGCCAGTGTTTATAGTCTGAGGAGAAGAGTCCTGCTTATTACACTGAAGAACAGATTCTTAGGAGGAAACTAGCCAGAGCCGTAACAGGTGACCTTGAGCAGCGTGCTGCTGGAGATAGGCTACAGTTGGTCCTGGTTTCTAAACTTGAGGGCAGAGCTAAGAGAGAGCTGAGCGCATGTGCCAGAGCCTGTCAGGCAGATGCGAGCTGGGGGTGAGGGGAACAACTGGGTTCCCTCTGTTGATATTTAGGAGCTGTTTCTTTTTCTATAAAAAGTGAGTGTGTCCCCTCCATTTGTCACAAGGCAGAATATTTCCAGGACTAGAACTGCTAGAAGGAGCCAGAGAGGTTGTTTAATCATAAAGAACCCTGATTCCTTTCAAAGGACCCACGTTTGAGTCCCAGCACCCACATGGTGCTACACAACCTTCTCTACTTCCAGTTCCAGAGGATCTGGCACCCTCTTCTGACATGCAGGCAAAACACCCATAAATATAAAAATAATTGAGTCTTAAAAAACTCAGGTCTTGCTGGGCAGTGGTGGCGTATACCTTTAATCCCAGCACTTGGGAGGCAGAGGCAGGTGGATTTCTGAGTTTGAGGCCAGCCTGGTCTACAGAGTGAGGACAGCCAGGGCTACACAGAGAAACCGTGTCTTGAAAAACCAAAAAAAAAAAAAAAAAAAAAAAAAACCACCTCAGGTCTTAGAATCAGACCACAATGAATTCAGAGTCTAACTTCACTTCCTAAGTGAGTAACTGTGCTGACATTTAAGCCTTAGCAATCTCGCCTCGCTCTGGGGGTTGGGAGTTCTCTTTGGGTGTGTGTGGACCCTACTGGAAATTTAGTCCGACTGTATGGAAGTGAGTTTGAATAGTGGGGAATAGGAAGTCATTGGTTTTATTTGGATAGACTTATGAAAGAAATGTTCATTGGTAAAAGAAAGGACATTGGCTGTGTGGTTAGAAGATGTCTGGGTAGAGAGCCATCCTTTGGAAGCATCCTTTTAAAGCTGTGGGCTGTTGTAGGCTGCAGAAAGAAAATGTAAAAAAAAAGAAGGCCAGAATGGGGCCTTACTCACAGAGGTTACAAACCTTCTTAGTCCTTAGGAAGCCACAGGGAGAAGCAAATAGATAGCACAGGACAGCTGGGTCATTGATGATGATGTTCCATAAGCATATGTGCGTGTGAACTGACTCTTGAGTATGCCCACGGTGAGGCAGAATATTATTCTAATACCCGTACCTCTCTAGTGCCTGGGCTCTGTGGGCATTTCAGTATCGTCTTTATTATCACAGCTGCGTGTATAGTTCCACTTTCACAAAGGTAACATGGTTTTCTTTCCATGCCGGTACTGCTTTTCTTTTTCTTTTTCTTTTTTCTTTCTTTTCTTTTCTTTTTTTTTTTTTTTTTTTTTTTTTTGGTTTTTCGAGACATGGTTTCTCTGTGTAGCCCTGGCTGTCCTGGAACTCACTCTGTAGACCAGGCTGGCCTCGAACTCAGAAATCCGCCTGCCTCTGCCTCCCAAGTGCTGGGATTAAAGGCGTGCGCCACCACTGCCCGGCGAACCTGCACTCTTAAGCTTTTCTGGGCACTCACGTTTTAAAACTGAGTCTGCCGTTTGGTATGGTTGATCCATATGGACTTGAAAAGAAAGCTGGTGTTGTTGCTTAAGTGGAGATCAACATAATTGCGGGTGTTATTTAGATTTGTGTCTTCTCTGGTGTTTTGGTTTGAGTTATCTGTTGACTGAGAGGGGTCTTAAGATTTCCAGCTGGGGTGCTGGTTTGGCATTTCTATTTAGTATTACCAGTTGTCTTTGCATGAATTTTAGAAGTATATGCTGTTAAAAATGAAATGACTGATTTTTGTTTAAACAATGAGGAAGCCTTTATTCAAACTCAGCAGTCAGTTGTGATAAGTGTCAGGATTATTGCAGTCAGGGAGAGAGCTTGGATTCTCATGAGTAAGACGAAGTGAGTATCATAGCTAACAAGCATGAGGGACGTTCGTTCGGAGATGGAAAATGACACAGGAGGAAACAGGAGAGGGAATTCTCTTACTGCTTGGCTGCATGTGCGTGTCCAACAAAGATGGAAGCAGGGGTGTCGGGAGGCATTGACTGAAAAGAGGACTCTGGGGGTCCTGGATAAAATTGAGCTGCCTTAGTCAGTGATTAAGCATTCACATTTTAAGTTATGACTTTTTGATGTTTGACTATTTTCTAGTGCAGTAGTCTATCAGTGTTTTTAATAGACATTGGTATAACTGGATTTGGGTAGGCTGTTTTGTTGTTTTCTATTTGATTCCCACCCACCCCACTCCTTTTAGTTACTTAAACAGTAGTACTTGAAATGATCCAGGGGTCTTCTGAGGCAGTCTATTACCTGAAAGGTTCAAACTGTCACTAAAGATACTGTGGACTTGCTTGCGTTCTCCATCGATTCTCTTGCTTATAAATGCATAAGGAATTATCCAGAGGATACATGGAATGCTTTTAGAAACATTAACAGTATAAAGCAGAAGTTGTGCAACGTGCTTTTTGAGCACAAACTAGGTCTAGAGATTTTCATTCTACTTTTACATTTTCGATGGGAAGCTAGAACAATGACAAGAAAGGTCAAGGTGGGTGTTGTCACAGTGAGCGGACCTTTTCTTACAGCTGAATCCTGTTGGGAGCAGACCTCGATGGTTAGAGCTGTGTGTGTGCTGAAGGGTTGCTGTGCAGGGAGTGCACCTCGATGGTTATGCTTGAAGGGTTGCTGTGCAGATAGAGTCTGCTTCGGTGTCTCAGTACTCTGCTGGAGGTCATAGGGGAAATAGGAAGCCACCCACAGGGAACTGCAGCAGTCAGCTTCCTTCCCCTCCATACTGATTTGTGTGTCGTTTATGACAGAGGGAGCCATGGTGACAGTGACAGTTACTAGACATAATTAATATTTCTACTTTTTGTTTGTTTTGTGTTTATGTGGATGTTAAGAGAATTTCCTTCTTTCTGTTGCAGTCTTGGCCCGTTAGTGAGTAAAGTGAAAGAGTACCAAGTAGAGACGATTGTAGACACCCTCTGCACAAACATGCTTTCCGACAAGGAGCAGCTTCGAGATATTTCCAGTATTGGCCTTAAAACAGTGATTGGAGAACTCCCTCCAGCTTCCAGTGGTAAGCAAGAATGCTTTTCCTTCTTTCTTTCTACGTGGACATACGTCCTCCCTGTGTTCTGAGGCACAGAGAGGTGATTGATTGAACCCTGATTTTTCTTAAACACAAATGTGACTTTTAAGCAAATGGAGTTATTAAGTGTGCTGTGTGTCGGTCCTAAAGGATATTTCTGTTGGTGCAGGGTGTTCGTGGTGTTGCATATTCTACAGCTGCAGCTGAGAGTTACGTTGTTTAGCTCCTGCAGTGGGAGAAAAGATAAGCAAATACCAGTTTCTGATTAGTTTGTAATTCCAGGTTTGATTTAGTTTTTTCATCAAACTTTATTGTATAAAATTGTAAAAAGACATAGTTAGCTAGTAAAGAGTTCAGTTTGCTAGTAGCTTTAAGTAAATTTGAGCCCCTTTCAGTTACTTGATAGTTTAATAATTACTGAATTTGATAATTAGCTTTTGGCCTCTGCCAGAATTATCTAGGTAATGTGAGTCTAAGACTGGACTGGACTACTGTGCTGTTGTTTAATTTAGAAGTCTGAAAATTACTGTCCTAACTGCAAATGGAAGACATTATGTATCCCCACTTTGTGGGAAGATTTTAAATTGGTAATATCATGTGAGCGTTGTTTTCACTCATTAATACTAATAATTGATTATCTTGTTATGATTGGTTCTGTCTGTTAAATCTCTTAGTCTAAACATCACACAGTTGAAATGTACAGAGATAAAGTCACACCCAGAGTTAGATCCCAGCAGTTTGGAGGATGCTCTGAGTGTGACTCAGTGATAAAGCATGCCTACCATGGTTGAGGCCCCGAGGTCCATCCCTAGCACCACAAGAAGAAAAAACTCTTTCCGTCTGAAGCTGGTGCTGTTTGCCCAGAGCATCCCGGTGCTGTGTTACTCTCTTCCAGCAGCCGGGAAGTCTGAGGATGGAGGATGCTACTCTCTCGATCCTCCGGTTGCACACTGTCTTCATTTCCCCTCGTGCAAGATGCATTTAGTTGGTTTTAACAAGATTTCTTTTAGTTATTGAGATTCAAACATTCACAGTGAGTTACCTGTTCCCCTTTCCTGCCATTTGTAAACATGGCCTACTTTAAAGTCAGGGGGTGCAGTGTATATGTACTCCCTTTGACTCCCTTTGGTCAGGTGACTGATTAAAGCTTAAACCTGTGATTTTTGTCTTTTAAAGCAACTGTTGTTAAATATTGGAGTGCAAACTCAGCAGAACTTAAAAAGGCTGTTAGAGAGAACTCAAGAACAGAAAAATGTTGCTGCTTTCAATCTAGAGATTTGTTTGCCATACACTACAGGCTTTGTAGCCAACATTCATTCAGTAGTTGCCTGGCAAGATCTGAATAGTGGTATTTGTCACATTTCCTGTACCTCTTTTGAAGCTATTAACTTCTGATTCTTGGTCAGGTCTAATGAGGTATTTTTAACTTTTTTCTTAGCAAGGATCTCTTTTGTTTTTTAATATTATCTATTTATTATTATTTGTACAAGTACACTGTAGCTGTCTTCAGACCCACATCAAAAGAGTGCATCAGATCCCTTTACGTGGCTGTGAACCACCATGTGGTTGATGGGAATTGAACGCAGGACCTCTGGAAGAGCAGTCAGTGCTCTTAACTGCTGAGCCATCTCTCCAGCCCAGCAAGGATCTCTTAAATGCCTTTGAATTTTAGCCTGTTGAATATTTGGCAACTAGTGCAGATATGAATTTAATACAGTTGAAATTTTTATTTACTCTTGCAGGCTCTGCATTAGCTGCTAATGTGTGTAAAAAGATTACTGGACGCCTTACCAGTGCAATAGCAAAGCAGGAAGATGTCTCTGTTCAGCTAGAAGCTTTGGATATTATGGCTGATATGTTGAGCAGGTAAGCGTGTCCATTATGTATTCGTAATGCTGTGTTATAAATAGTATGTTCATTATTGACATCTTTCTTTCATTAATATAGAAAACTTGGCCTAGATTTCTGTATTTGGGGGTAAAGGAAATATAAGATATATTTATGCATCACAGATGTTTTTTGATTCTAAAAAATGTTGTGATTGAACCTTTTTTAGCAGTTTATGTTTATTATGATCGTTCTATCCATTCGTCTACTGACATGAGGGAGACGCTTTACTGGATGTCACCAGCCTGCAGCTAAACAAGTGCCAGCCTTTAGCAGTCGGGTTTATCTTGTGTGTGGCAGGGAGGGATGGGTTCTCTTCACTTCTCCCTTGCCTACTTCCTATGGCATCCAGCTGAGGAAGTGATTTGAGCCGCTCCTGAGAAAATAACCCTTTGAGGACACTTGAGGTTCAGTGTATTCTTGTTTCTGATGATCAGTTCTTCATTACTTGTGGGTACTCTTTGTAGTTCATTTAAGTTTAAAAGTAGTTGAGCATTTTGATATAGAAAAATGTGTGCATATTAAATGCCTGCAGGGAGGGGCTCTCATTACCCTGGCACCCAGGATAGAGGAGTTAGACTTTCTAGGAGGTAAGAATGGAAATGGCTGAAAGGTCGAGCCAAGTTAAGATAAGTGAGACTACTCAGTGGAGCTTTTCTGGGTGTAGTGGAATGAAGACTGGGTGGACGTGGGTAACTACATGTGCCAAGATGTGGAGTGCACACATGTCAGATTAGGAGTGTGAAGCAGAGGTACTGTGAGCTCAAGTTTGGGAGCAAGTGAACCAGTAAAACTGGGTATGAGATGGACAAAAAGAGGAGAGGACAGTGAAGAGATGCCAGGCTTTTGGTAGTGTAGGCAGACTCCAGATAAAAGAGAAGTCTTGGAAGGCGGAAAGTGACGTCATCATTGTGCGTTTTGTTTTATTTGGTGTTCTGCCAGCCATTTGGTTACCCAGCCTGTAATAGGTAATATGGGCCTCACTCCTAGGAGTTAGTTGGGGAAACACATCAGATCTGTATACATTTTAGCTTAGGATTTTTGGTTGCACTGGAAAGGATAGTGAGAATTAAGCTTTTCTTTCATTGTGAGTTCCGATATTTCTTTCTAGTTTGTGTAGAGTCTAGACATGTTGCTAGTGCTCTGGCATGTTGAATGTATTTGTTTTTGTTTTTTTCTTTCCCTGTTTTTCAAGGCAAGGAGGACTGCTTGTTAACTTCCATCCTTCAATTCTGACCTGCCTGCTTCCCCAGCTGACAAGCCCTAGACTTGCAGTGAGGAAAAGAACAATCATTGCTCTTGGCCACCTGGTTATGAGCTGTGGAAACATAGTTTTTGTAGACCTTATTGAACATCTGTTGTCAGAGTTGTCCAAAAATGACTCCATGTCAACGACAAGGACGTACATACAGTGTATCGCTGCTATTAGTAGGCAGGCTGGCCACAGAATAGGTAAGACATTCTGAAGTGCTTCAAAGTTATGTACGTTCGTGCATGGTGTGTGTGTGTGTGTGTGTGTGTGTGTGTGTGTGTGTGTGTGTGTGAGAGAGAGAGAGAGAGAGAGAGAGAGAGAGAGAGAGAGAGAGAGAGAATGTGTAACACACCATGTATGTGTATGTGGAGGTCAGAGAGGAACTCTCCTTCATCTGTACTCCTTCATCTGTACATGGGTCTTGGGTTCACACTTGGCTCCTGGCTTTCGCATGCGCCTGTGCCCTCTGAGCCCATCACTGGCTGGCCCCTAAAGTTGTCGCGTACAAAATTGGTTGTTTTGTTTGTTTGTTTGTTTGTTTGTTTTTAAGTGTGCAGTTTTAAGAGACAATATGTTTTCCTAGGTGAATACCTTGAAAAGATAATCCCTTTGGTGGTGAAGTTCTGTAACGTAGAGGATGATGAATTAAGAGAGTACTGCATTCAAGCCTTTGAGTCATTCGTGAGGAGGTGAGTTAGGATCTTTTTATCCAAGGTTTCCCCAAGAATAGACTAGTTACTGAGAGTGAGTAAGTAAAGAGACATAGCATATAGGGGTTCACATGTGTTTGGTTTTTTCATTAAATAGTAATTATTGCTAATATATTTGTAGGAAGTGCCATCTTACTATTATAAAGTCTAGTAGCCTCATTTACTTTGAAAATATTTAGCATTGTTAGAACTTAAAATAGTCATTTTTTTTGTTTACTTTTACCTTTATAAGAAGGAAGAAATGCCAGAGCCATAATATAGTATGTCTCCAGAGCAACAGGCAAACTGGCTGAAGGGTAGCACAGTAGATAGCCTTTCAGCCATACATTTAGATCTGTCATACCTGTTCTGCCAATGTGAGTCTTAATTTGGAAACTTGACTCTAACTTTCTTTTAAATCTTAATAAAAATTATGTGAAATCGCTACTAGCTGAATGTTTGCCTATGATTAATATCATTTGTGTGGATGGTATCTTGATCCTAACTGGTTTAGTCTGGACTTTGCCCTTTGACCTGATAGTTTAGAGGAGCATCTTTATAACCAAGCCATTTTAAAAATATTTTTTAATATTTGTGCTATGTGTATGTCTGCATCATGAGCACTCATGGAAGTCAGCAGAAAGCGTCAGATTCACTGGAACTGGAATTAAAAGCAGGTGTGAACCTCCATGTTGATGCCAGGGAATTGAACCCAGGTCCTCTGTAAGAAACGGCCAGTGTTCTTACTCACTAAGCTGTCCCCCGCCCCCCAGGCCTCCAGACCAAAATTTGAAAATTGGAAATTTCAAATTCTGAATGTTGAAATTCATTTCTATCCAGTTTAATGAAGAACTACAAATTGCCCCTTTAATTTTGACTCTGTGAGCATATATGCATTTTTATTGATCCTTAGCATACAGAGAGAAGACTGTGCTAAATGAATGTTCACTACCAATTTTACAAGTTCTAATGGCTTGAGAAACTATACTACGCCCACTTGAACAATATAGTTAAATTGTATGTGATATATGTGTAGGGATGCATATCCTAAAATTAAATATTTTTTGAAAAATAAATCTTTTCAAACATGAAGCTCATGGGACAACAATTTAAGTGGTCAGACACCAGTTTGCTATTATTGCTAATAACAGACGGGGAGGGAAGTACAGTTTGTGTGTATATTTTTAAAGCAGTTTTTATCTTTGTATTTAGATGCCCTAAGGAAGTTTATCCTCATGTGTCTACCATTATAAACATTTGTCTAAAATACCTTACCTATGATCCAAATTACAATTATGATGATGAAGATGAAGACGAGAATGCTATGGATGCTGACGGTGGGGACGACGACGATCAAGGTATTGAGATGAGACAGAAGTCAGGGTTAGGTGGGGAGGGTGCCTGACTGCACACTGTACCTTAGGAGGTGTCTTTGTCCCCGTGATGCTCAAGCCTGGAGCCTTAGGCATGGTGAGGGACAACTATTCTCTTCTGTTTAGTTTTTATACAGTGTTTGGTTTTTTTAAAAAATGAATCTAAAGATACATATTCAGAGTAGTTTGGTTGGTATTGAAAAATCTTACATATTGTTTGAGGCCCTGTTTAATGTTCATGAATAAGGTAAATGTTTCTGTGGCTTATGTGGTTAAAGTCGGGATAGCTTATGGTAATGCTTCAAGGGTATAGCTATTGCTGTTTTGTTTGGAAGAATTACAATATATTTAAATGGGTAGACTACCAACTGTATGGATGGGTTGGTGGGGTTCCTGCTAGTATAGAACTTTTTAATTTGATTGTTTAAATTTATGAAGCTAGTTTCTTTCTTCCTTCCTTCCTCCCTTCCTCCCTCGCTCCCTCTCTCACACTCTCCCTCCCTCTCCCTCTCCCTCTCCCTTTCCCTCTCTCCCCCTCTCCCCCTCTCCCCTCTCTCCCCCTCTTCTCCCTCCCCCCTCTTTTGGTTTTTCGAGACAGGGTTTCTCTGTATAGCCCTGGCTGTCCTGGAACTCACTCTGTAGACCAGGCTGGCCTCGAACTCAGAAATCCGCCTGCCTCTGCCTCCCAAGTGCTGGGATGAAAGGCGTGCGCCACCACTGCCTGGCTGTGCAGTGACTTTCTTAAAAAAATTTGTAATTTAACTCATCTAAAAAGCAAGCACATAAATACATCCACCTCAGTCTCCTCCTCCAGCAGGTACTTCCCATTCTCTGTGTACAGTAGATCTCACACAGGCACTCGCTCTGTTAAGTTCATTTCTTACCCTCCATCTTGAATGCAATCCAGTAGTGGCAAAGGTGCAAGTGGCTGCCGTTTACCTAGTTACCGTACCTCTCTGCTTTCTGTCTTCTGTTCTGGCTCTTACTGATCTCTAACCACTAAATATAGATATCCTGAAGTCCTTGTACTCACCCATAATACTTCCTTTTTCTTTGGATATCATCTCAATACTTAAGCTGATTGTTCAATTCATTTGGTATTCTGTTGTTAAATGGTGAACATTTTCTTAAGGACGGATGTCCAGACAGATTGATAGAAAGTTGAAAAAAAAGTTTTGTTCCAGTAGCACATAAAAGATTCAATGAAAAGCTATGTATGAACCCAGTAACAGAATTCTTTCTTCTCACAGAAAATTGTTCATAACTATTCTTTTTACTAGATCTATAACCAAATTGGTTTTGTAGTTTTCTTATAAACGCCCGTTAGTTGATTTTTCTCCTTCTGCTGAGTCTTGACTTTGGTTCAAAGCTCGAGGAATTTATGAGTTTAAACAGAAAAGATTGAAGCCGGCTACATTTCATTAACTATGTGACAAGACTACTTAGCCAATTAAAACAGTCATGGCTGTAACATGCTGTAGATGTTAAGCTGTTTTAACTCAGTGTCTTGGTTAAGAAGAGCAGCTCACTATGTGCTGAGCTCTGTACTCTGTACACCTCTAACAGCCTGTTCCACGCTGACACTTCCTTTTAGGGAGCGACGATGAGTACAGTGACGACGACGACATGAGCTGGAAAGTGCGGCGTGCGGCTGCCAAGTGCCTGGACGCCATAGTCAGCACACGGCATGAGATGCTCCCAGAGTTCTACAAGACTGTCTCTCCTGCACTGATATCCAGATTTAAAGAGCGCGAGGAAAACGTAAAAGCAGATGTTTTTCATGCATACCTTTCTCTCTTGAAGCAAACTCGTCCAGTACAAAGTTGGCTGTGTGACCCTGATGCAATGGAACAGGGAGAAACGCCCTTAACAATGCTTCAGAGTCAGGTCAGTGTACGCGTGGGCTGTGGAAGCCACCAACAGCAGAGTTTTACAGATTGTTCTCAGGGAAGACATGAGTGCCGGCATCATTTAGGGCAACTCAGCGTTAATGAGTTTGATATTACTTACAAACCAAAGGATGGTATAAAAGTGGATGGATGGACGGACGGACAGACAGATAGGATGGTATAAAGGTGGATGGATGGATGGATGGATGGACGGACGGACGGACGGACGGACGGACGGACGGACGGACAGATAGGATGGTATAAAAGTGGATGGATGGATGGACGGACAGACAGACAGGATGGTATAAAGGTGGATGGGTGGGTGGATGGGAGCTATAGATAGACTGATGGATGATAAATAGTAGATAGATGATTGATTTGATGGCTAGATGATAAACAGACAGACGTAGAAGAAGCACTGAGCAGAGAGAAATTGCCGCGTAGAAGCATGAAGAATTCTGAGAATATTTTGTTATCTGTGTCTCAGATCATTTTATTTATGAGATTTATCTGTCTTGAGGAGAGTGTTATCTCTTTCTACTTTTTATTGCTTGATTAGTTTTTTGAGAGTCTCTGTTTACAGCCTGTTTCTATGACTTGTTAGTAAAGACTGTACTTCAGTTTTGTTAAACATTAGAACGTTTAGATCAGATATCTGCATTTTACCCCTGTTGCTTGTACCTTTAAGGTATGATGTCATTAATTGTAATAGCAAGCTAAAAAGAGAAAAAGATGCTATTACAATAGCAAAGTAAAAAAAAAAAAATACCCAGTTTGCTAGTTCTTTTTCCCACAATTTGCTTTCGACTGTTTTTCTATTTATAAATTATTTTGCTTAAATCTTTGGTTGGAAATTATTCTAATCAGTGGAGACTTGCTGCTTGTTATTCTCCACAGTTTCTTGAAGCTGTCAAACAAATATAGTTACATATGAGTGTGTACAGCTCGTGTAATAGATTTAAACTTTGTTCTCATGTACTGGTGCCTGTCTGAGCAGTAGTATTGGAGAGCTGAGTTGGAAGTGTGACAAACAGGTAGATTCTTGTGCTCCTTTCCTGTGAGTTGCTACAAGTATGTGGAGAAGTCCTTTTGGACCAGCTAGCTACTGACTATGTTATAATTGCAGGTTCCCAACATTGTCAAAGCCCTACACAAACAGATGAAAGAAAAGAGCGTGAAGACCCGGCAGTGCTGCTTTAACATGTTGACTGAACTGGTAAACGTGTTGCCTGGGGCACTAACTCAGCACATTCCTGTCCTTGTACCAGGTGCGCCTCTGGGGACTTTGTGTTTTTAGCACTTAGTGAACATGAATAAATGTTTCCCTTACAAGAGAAGTTTGGGATAATTTGTACCTAATCTGACCATTTTGAACACATGAGGTTAGATCTTTGTAAGAAAGAGGATTTAATATTTTGTATACTTTTTTTTTATGCTTTTCCCATGTTAGAAATTATATAATGCAGATAGAAATTTTAAGTCTTTCAGGGCAGGGGTGGCTTTTAGTTCTTTCTGAAACCCGAATAGCAATGATGAGATGTTTTGTTGGCTTTTCAGGAATCATTTTCTCACTGAATGATAAGTCCAGCTCATCAAACCTGAAGATTGACGCCCTGTCCTGTCTGTATGTAATCCTCTGTAACCACTCTCCTCAAGCTTTCCATCCTCATGTTCAGGCTCTGGTCCCTCCGGTGGTGGCTTGTGTTGGAGACCCATTTTACAAGATCACATCAGAAGCTCTGCTTGTCACTCAGCAGCTCGTCAAAGTGATCCGTCCTCTAGACCAGCCCTCCTCGTTTGATGCAGCGCCTTACATCAAAGATCTCTTTACCTGTACAATTAAGCGCCTAAAAGCAGCGGACATTGATCAGGAAGTCAAGGAGAGGGCTATTTCCTGTATGGGACAGATTATTTGCAATCTTGGAGACAATTTGGGTCCTGACTTATCAAACACGCTTCAGATTTTCTTGGAGAGACTCAAGAATGAGATTACTCGGCTGACGACAGTGAAAGCGCTGACCCTGATTGCCGGTTCCCCTTTGAAGATAGATCTGCGGCCTGTGCTGGGAGAGGGAGTTCCCATCCTTGCTTCATTTCTCAGGAAAAATCAGAGAGCTTTGAAGCTGGGGACCCTGTCTGCCCTAGATATTCTCATTCAAAACTACAGTGACAGCTTGACTGCCGCCATGATTGACGCCGTTCTGGACGAGCTCCCTCCTCTTATCAGCGAGAGTGACATGCACGTGTCGCAGATGGCTATCAGTTTTCTTACCACCCTGGCAAAGGTGTATCCCTCCTCCCTCTCAAAGATAAGTGGATCTATTCTCAATGAACTGATTGGACTTGTGAAATCACCTCTACTGCAGGGAGGAGCTCTTAGTGCCATGCTAGACTTTTTCCAAGCTTTGGTTGTCACGGGAACAAACAATCTAGGCTACATGGATTTGCTGCGCATGCTCACGGGTCCAGTTTACAGTCAGAGCTCAACTCTTACTCATAAGCAGTCTTATTATTCCATTGCCAAATGTGTAGCTGCCCTTACTCGAGCATGCCCTAAAGAGGGACCTGCCGTAGTAGGTCAGTTTATTCAAGATGTCAAGAACTCGAGGTCTACAGATTCCATCCGGCTCTTAGCACTCCTTTCTCTCGGAGAAGTCGGACACCATATTGACTTAAGTGGGCAGTTGGAATTAAAATCTGTAATATTAGAGGCTTTCTCCTCTCCTAGTGAAGAAGTGAAACAGGCTGCGTCCTATGCGTTAGGCAGCATTAGTGTAGGCAACCTTCCTGAGTATCTGCCGTTTGTACTCCAAGAGATTACCAGTCAGCCCAAAAGGCAGTATCTTCTGCTTCATTCCTTGAAGGAAATCATTAGCTCCGCATCGGTGGTAGGCCTTAAGCCATATGTTGAGAACATCTGGGCCTTGCTGCTAAAGCATTGTGAGTGTGCGGAGGAAGGCACCAGAAATGTCGTTGCTGAGTGTCTAGGGAAGCTCACTCTTATTGATCCTGAAACTCTCCTCCCACGGCTTAAAGGGTATTTGATATCAGGTGAGTATCAAGGGTTTCTCATCTATGACCTTATTCACAGTTAGTTGCCTTGAAAGATACCTAATGAGGAACTACTATCTGCTTTTTAAAAACCATGTTTAAAGCCATGTATGTGATGAGAAAGCCCTAGCATATGCTGTAATACGGAGTGATACTCAGAGGGACTTCGTTCCTCAGAGGGATGATGTCTAATTGGGTAATGTTTAAATTTAAATAAGGATGATCTAGTTCTTTATGCTGACTGCATTTTAATGTTGCTATTTTTATTTAAAATGTAGAAAAGACAACTCTTGAATTTAACATGAAGACCTTGTGAGGTACTTACTATATTAAAATTGCAGAAATTAGTGAGTTTAAAGGCAAAAAAAGTGCAAAAAGATTTTTGATTTACTATTGTTTACCCAATTAGAATAAATAGGTAATAATTCATAAAAAAAATAAAAGAGTTAAAATAGTGTTTAATTAAAGTTTTTCTTTACCATTATATATTTTACCAGTACCTTTCGTAAGGGCTAGGTCCCCTGTTTCTGCTTTCCTGGATCACCTCCTTTGTAGAGGACAATTTTTCTTTGAAAGTCTATAAAGCTTTTTTTTTTTCTTCTTTTTTTTTTTTTTTAAGATTTATTTATTTATTTTATTTATGAATACACTGTAGCTGTCTTCAGACACACCAGAAGAGGGCATCCAATCTCATTACGGATGGTTGTGAGCCACCATGTGGTTGCTGGGATTTGAACTCAGGACCTCTGGAAGAGCAGTCAGTGCTCTTAACCGCTGAGCCATCTCACCAGCCCGCTTTTTTTTTTTAAAGTAAGAAAACTATTGATTTAATATCCTGAGAGTCAGAAGACAGCTATTTGGGGCAATGGTAATTTTACACTGTTGAAGACATTGGTGTTTCTGTGATTGGTGGTTTACAATGTCATTCATGGACATTGGGGTAATGCATACCAATGGACTTGCTATTGCAATCTGTTGTTGATTAGGGTCATCATATGCCAGAAGCTCAGTGGTTACAGCTGTGAAGTTCACTATCTCTGATCATCCGCAGCCCATTGACCCACTGTTAAAGAACTGCATAGGTGAGTGGCAACAACACACACTGCTTGTTACTTTGGAAAAGTACAATGCTTTATTGAGATTCTGTTTATTCTGATAACTAAGGCTGTCACTAAAAATTTTTGTTACTGGGGGAGTAACACATTCACAAGGTAATTGTTTCATTATAAAGATTATTCATAATGTATGGTTTTCTTTTTTTTTTTTTTTTCCTTTAAATGTATTTTTAATGTATCTCGCCAAGGCTGTGAACATGATGAAGCTGTCTTGGGTTTTGAATGTATGGTTTTCTAAGGTTGAGAAAATTATATTTATATAAGCCCTCTTTTATCAGCAAGTACCATCAGATGATTTTGTTCATCACTGAAGTAGATAAATATGTCAGTATGTCTTAACAGTCAACCTAGTTGATAATCATATTTTGGTCATGTCTTTTTTAAATTCACTTTATATCCCACTCACTGTCCCCCCTCCTGGTGACCTCCCTTTGGTGATGTCTTAATGAATAAAGCAAATAGATGTTAAATCTCTGAGCAGTCAAGAACTTTCTCTCAGTATCAATGAGTCTTACTTGAGTTGGAGTCTCAGTTTTTGATGCTTGCTTGGAACCCTCTAGCTCTAAGAGGATCCATGGAGAAGTTCCCACCTAAGAACAAAACAGAAAGCTCGACAGTGCTAACTCATCATCAGAAGTACCAAGAGGAAATGCCCAGGAAAAACAAGAGCCATCTGAAGTTTTGTTAGAGAGGCGTGAGCTTCTGGAACTAGAGTGTTGTCATCGCCTTTGTGGTGTTCTTAGCGTTGGTTACCTTAATGTCAGGATTAATCCAGACCCTCAGGGTGCAGGTTGTGTTTTCTTAAGGACTGGTGTTGGTACAGGGAAGAGACTGTCGGGACACGGTTAAGTAGATTCATGCTGTCTTCAGTGTGCAGGGAAGGGGGTCAGAGGTAGTGAATGAACACTTTGAACTGCATAAAAGGGGGTGGCTCGTTCAGAGATAGGCCGCAGAGCTACAGATGAGTGGTCGTACTATACTCGGACCTAGAAATAGTTACTGTTCGCACAGATAAACTTTCCTATTATCAAAGTCAGGATGGGGGAAAGACCTGCAGAAGTTTCCAGAGTTGGAGCATTTAGTTTCTCACCGTGCAGTCCTTGCAGTCCTTCTCTGATGGTGTTTGTCAGCTCCCTTACGTGCCCTCATTCCCTGAGCCTCTGAAGGACTGTTGATGATAGAGTCGGGGTCGTACAATGAGGAGTAATGAATGACCTATGCAGCCCCTCTACCCGTCAGATGCCGGGCAACAAGATGCCTGCTTTTCCTCTGCTCAGTGACGCTCTCCACGCAGTATCTTCTTCTTGTACTGATTGGGAAGCGAAGGATCTAGACTAAAGGTGCCTGTCCACAGCTTGACCGTTCATACGGGAAATGATCTGACTCTCTGTGTGGCCTTAAGGAAGGTTACATTTTCATTTCTTTCTGCACATTTGCAAAATAGCAGACGTAAAAATCTTGTTTTTACAGTAGCTAGATACTGTATTTGGCAATTGTCTTGTTGGGTTGTAGTCTCCTCATTACGCTCCTGTGCTCTTACTAATTGTGTCTTAGTGAAGACGCAGATTAGGTTAGGGTGTAATTCTTTGTCCTTTGATGAATTGTCTCCCTGACGTGTCTGTATTGAGCTCAGCTTCTTGCCCCTCTGAGTGAGTTGTAAGGAATTTTAAGGTGCTAGGTTTGTTGGCTTCCGGCTCCATCCCTTCTGAGCAACTCATGTATTTACAAACTATCATAAAATAGTGAACTCAGAGTGTTAGGCCCTGCTCGCTCTGTCCTCTGCGTCATTGTCACCTAGACTGACGGTCAGTGAAAAGTGGGCACACATGCAGCACTGGTAGTTCATTTCCATGCTGCTGAAATACAGCTTTTGGCTCAGTGAATCTTGTGTCTGATTTTTCTGTGACCTCCATTTTCATTGAATAAATAGCAGGGATAACCATAATAACTAAGTCAGTTTAGAGAAAAACACACTTTGTGAATTGTGTTTTAAGCTTGGCATTAGTGGGTTGTTTCTCTTTAAATTTTCAGGTGATTTTCTAAAAACTTTGGAAGACCCAGATTTGAATGTAAGAAGGGTAGCCTTGGTCACATTCAATTCTGCAGCCCATAACAAGCCGTCACTGATACGGGACCTTCTGGATTCTGTTCTTCCACATCTTTACAACGAGACAAAAGTTAGGAAGGAACTGATACGAGAGGTGAGTGCGGTAGGTTGCCGCGTCATCGCTCCCCTGAACTCACCGTGTCATGGTCACACACTGGCATGTTCCTTCTTGTTTTAATAGGTAGAGATGGGTCCGTTTAAACACACGGTCGATGACGGTCTGGACATTAGAAAGGCAGCTTTTGAGTGTATGTATACCCTTCTAGACAGCTGTCTTGATAGACTGGATATCTTTGAATTTCTAAATCATGTTGAAGATGGTTTGAAAGACCATTATGATATTAAGGTAAGATGTGTGTGAACATCTGTCAAGTGATTGAGTAGCTGTTGATGAGACAGCGTCTATGCTTTTAATTTACTTAGCTCTGTAAGAAAGAAAAATCAGTCTGTCTACAAGTGTTTTTGTAACCATCTTAGAAACTCTATGTGCAGAAATCATGGAAAGACAGTTACATTGGTTAGTATACAAGAGAACACAGAAACTTCTTCTTACCTTAGAAGGAAGGGAAATAGACCTCAGATGTTTAAGAAATTCATTTTTAGTCTCCTTAATGAATAGTACCTACCCATATTCTTTGCCTCAGAATAAGACACATTTTAATGCTGAAAGTACAGATCCGTGACCTTTCAGGCCCATCTTGATGAGTCTAACCACCAGTTTTCTTACTTTCCCTTTGACGTCTTGCAGTTTCTTGGGCTTTTTACTTCAATACAAGGCAAGCTGTGTTAACGGCAAGAGTTGTGTTAGAGGCCGATCTGGAGCCCTCTCCTTTCAGTCTGCAGAAGCCTTAGAACAGAGTCATGTTGCTTCTGTGTCTTGTTTTCCCATTTATCATATTTAGTTATTTCTGAGCAAATGTGTCAGTATATAAGAGACTTCGGAACAAGTACATGAATACTGTCGTTTTCATGATCCTCTTTAACGGAGCCTTTGGCCTAGCAGAGCAGAAGTGGATGCAGAGCAGTTATCTGAGCCACAGTGCCGGAATTCCAGCATCTAAGGATGAAGTCCTACATATTTATAGTCCAAGGGGAAAGTACTTCAAAACATTGGGGAAGGGTGTTCTATGAATTTGAACAATGATAATCATATGTCCTCCACAGTCTGTGGAGAAAGAGATTTCTCTCACGTTTTCCTTCATGGTCAGCACATTTGCTTATTAGCTTTTTCAGAAATACCGAGTTTCCGGTCTTCTCCCTGTGGATGAAATAATATTCCCTGACTGATGGGGCCAAAGAATGCTTCCCACCCCAGTGTTTCTGACGTGCAGTCAGACTTGACAGTTGTCCTAGTTTTTTATGGCAGGACCCCCGTATGGAAGCTGATGTTCCCTAGCATTCACCTGAGGTTTGCAATGAGTCTAATTCTGAGTGGCAGATTACATTAAGATGGTGCTCTAACTGGCATACTAACCGATTTTCTGTTTAAGAGAAGTCTGTCAGAGTGTGGGGGTTTTGTCACTAGGAAAAAATGTTTTTTGGTTTGTTTTTTTTTTTTGTTCCAATAGATGCTAACATTTTTAATGTTGGTGCGACTATCTACCCTTTGTCCAAGTGCAGTACTACAAAGGTTGGACCGACTTGTTGAGCCACTGCGTGCTACGTGTACAACTAAGGTAATTGTTGCTAGGCATCAATTTAGGCTACGTTTGCATAGGAATTACAGGCTGTGGAAATGGACTCTTGTTATTTCAGATAAAATGTTAACATTTTTTATGACAGAATTTAAAAATATTTTAATATGTGCATTTTACGTATTAAAATGTCATATGGGATGTTATGATGGTGGAGTCTTGTTCTTTAAACAGGCTGACTTTGAACTCTCCACCGTGACTTAGCCTCCCAAATGCTGAGAGTACAGGCGTATGCCACCATGTCTACTGAATGGAACTTTGATTTTGTTTTCATTAATTAACTTAAATATAAACAAGAAAAAAGCCGAGCAGTGGTGGTGCTCACCTTTAATCCCAGGCTCTAGAGACGGAGGCAGTGGATCTCTGAGTTCAAAGTCTTCCTGCTCTACAGAGTGAGTTCCAGGACAGAGGAACCTGTCTGAAAACAGATAGACAATAAGAAGAGAAGAAAACTTCCTTCTGGTACTTTATGAACTCCACAGTCCTAGCTTACTCTTTTCTCTGACTTTTCAAATTTAATTTTGTTAGTATTTCCCTTTCTGGGGCTTTGAGAAACACTGGTGTTTCTTCAAAGGTCTGGCAGAATTTAGAAGTGTGTCTTAAAGTCTTGTGTTGTCTTTCTTTCTTACTGCTTCAATCCCATCCTGCTTTAGTTTGCTTTTTATTGCTGTGGTAAAGAGCATGACCCAAAGCAACCAAAAGAGAAAAGGGTTTATTTCATGCTACTGCCTGTAGACCACCATGGAGGGAATTTAGGACAGAACTCTCAAGGCAGAAGCCGATGGAAAGGCCTTTAAAAAATGCTGCTTACTGGCTTGCTTCCCTGACTTATTCACTTTGATTTCTGAGATACTCTAGTACGTCTGCCCAGGGACAGCAGCACCCACAGGGCCAGGCCCTTCCACGCCAGTCATCAGTTAAGAAAGTACACCCACAGGCTGACCTGCAGTTACTCAGTTGAGCGTCTCTGTTCTCACAGGACTTCAGCTTGTATCAGGTTGACCAAAAACCTAACCACCATGTTGTATACATCTTCTTGGTTCAGTTTTACAGATCGAATATATGTAGAAACTTATTTCGTCTTTAGAATTGTCTATTTAGAGTTTTGTTTTGTTTTACAGTATTCCCTAATGACCTTTTTGGATTTTAGTGGTATCATAATATTTCTTATTCTATCTCAGATCTAATTAACTTTTCTCCTCCCTTTTTCTTGAAAGAAAGTGGTTTGTCAGTCTTATTATCTTTCAGGAGAGCAGATCTTTCATTCTCCTGGGTCATTGTGATTTCTGTTTCACTGATTTGAGCTCTGGCCTTTATTGTTTCTTACTCTTTGCCTTTTGGGCTTTGCTTTTTACTGGTTTGGGGTTTTTTTGTGTGTTTGTTTGCTTTTGTTTTTTGATTTTTGGATATTTGAAGCAGAATCTCACTTTCAGTATATAAACTGAGTCACTGAACCGGACAGTTTTTAAGTGAAGTTGTACAAATGACGATAAGTAATGAAAGCACATCATCAAGGAAGTCAGACTGTCTTAAGACTTTCATCTCCCAGTCTGCAGAAAACAAAGCGATCAAGAATGTGCGAGTAAACTTAAAATGCCAGGAAAAAGGAACTCTGGTACTGTCGATAGGGACATAAGTAAGTGTGAGCACTGTGGGAGTCAGCCTGGCCGAGTCTCAGGGACAGTTAACGCTAGCACGGACCGCCAAGACGTTCTCTGCTTCACGTTTACTGCCACACTGTTCACAGTAGCCGACTGTCGAGTGAGCCAAGGCATTCATGTGGAGTGAATGGACTTATAAAGTATCATATGTAATATGTATATGCATATGTGCATAAGCATACATACAAAATGAGACTTAACTATTAAAAAGTAAAATTATTTCTAGGAAAATGAGTATACCTGGAATAATTGTGGTAAGCAAAATAAGCCAGACTCAGAGAAACGTATTTTCCTCCCTCGTGTGAATTTAGGCAAAACAAAGATCTCCAGAATAAAAACTGAAGACATGAAAGTAAAAAGTAGGCTGAAGTCTGTAATAATGTGGGTAAGATAGAATTAGGCTTCAACAGTGCAAGAGTTCATTCTTTTTGAGAGGATGCCTAGCTCACTCGATGAGGGAAATGCTTGAAGTGAATCTGGAAATTTGGACCGTGAAAATGGAACAAGTTTAATTGTGCTTTAATCAATGTAAAATTACAAATAGAGGCGTGCATGGGGATATTACTGGGTGTTCAGAGAAGATGCATTGAAGTACTTGGTTTCTTGGTAGGGCCAACTTGTTTCAACTAAGTAGGCCTGGATTTTTAGTCTTTTTTATAATAGGACTTGTGTGAAATGGTCCCTTTTTAGGAGACAACTAGTGTCTTAAATTTTGATATATACCCTGTACTCGAAGTGCAGTCTGCCTTCTGGACTGTGAGGGAGTGGCTGTACACTACTCACAGGAGTTTGTGTCTCCGTGCACTTTGTTATGTTATGTTACAGCATGTAACCTGAGTTTCCTCTATTGCAGGTAAAGGCAAACTCTGTAAAGCAGGAGTTTGAAAAGCAAGATGAATTAAAGCGATCTGCCATGAGGGCAGTCGCAGCATTGCTAACCATTCCAGAGGCAGAGAAGAGCCCACTTATGAGTGAATTCCAGTCACAGATCAGCTCCAACCCGGAGCTGGCAGCCATCTTTGAAAGTATCCAAAAAGATTCTTCGTCCACTAACTTGGAATCAATGGACACTAGTTAGATGTGAGAAGCGCATGAGGACCATGACATTGACGCACAGTGCACTGAACTGACAAGGTGACCAGACAGAGACATGGGAGAGAAGTGGCTAGAGCTTCAGGATGTTCCACTTTTATTTTCATTCATGGGAAGTTTGTTCAGCTTTCTTCCATTGTTGTTTTTGTAGCTTTTACTTCAGAAATCTGTATTTCCATAATCCAGAGGTTGTAAAACCACTGATGTTTTTAGTGGTTAGGGCAACGTTTGAAATGGGAACTAAAGTTTGGATTTATGGAATGTGGAAATAGGGTCCAGTATCTGTTTGCCTTGTAATGTGTAGGATTAAAATGTTAAAACTTTATGACCATGGATTTCTTGGTTTTGTAAATTGTCTCATTTAAAATCAATTCTGCAACACAAAGACCATGTTTCTATCCTTGTATAACTTCTTCTTTCAGTGACATAAAATGATTTTAAACTGGCAGATCAAGAGTATCCACTTAAGATGTTATATTTCAGAGAGATTGGCATCTTAGCAAAGATAATAAAGTATCACTCTTAAGTATAAGGCTTAACAATATCCCCTTGTGCACACTGATTTTGCATGACCAGGTTTACAAATATGTATTGTCTGTAACACAGCATGTGCAGAGTCTTCACAATACACATTCAAATAAGCAGTAGTGCAATTTATCAGATACTTTTGCACACAAAATCTTATCTAGTGAGAGAGGAGTTACTGTTGAAACTGTCTTCTGACTGCCAGTGTGAGTTTACAGATGTTTCCAGCAAATCAAGTCCCGACCACTTGTGACTCTCTGCTGTTATAAATTATCTCGTACATTTAAGGACTTAGTTTTCCTCGGTTCCACATTTCCAGTGCTTGTTTCCACCCACCAGTTCTCAAAGTCAGACTGTGGTTCCTGTTGGGTGTCTGCATTTGTTCCTGAAGGACAGAAGCCACCTGTGCTTTCAGATTTTGTTTGTAGGAAATTTCTGAAGTTGCCCATCGTTCGTTGGTTTAGTTAGCTAAGGCGTCCTTTGAGTTGAGTCACACACACACACACACACACACACACACACATCTCTTGGTGAGCTAACTTCCCTATTGTCTTGGTAAGTGTTGAGTACTTGCTGAACTAGCAGAGCTTTTGCAGTTGGTTCCATTGTAGTTGAAGTTTTATCCAACATTCTGTGAGCTCGTTTCACACAAGCCTCCTTCCTGCCAACAGGAAGAGCCGTTCTGAAACAAGAGCACTCTTCACTCTGTGCACACGACGTAGTTTACATGTACTGGAGGGAGGCAGTTGTTAAATTGAGTGATGAGTTTCAAGGACTCGGCTTGAAACCTGCGCCGTTAGATGTAAAACTGTGAATGTAAATCCTCGTCTGACTCACAGACTTCTCTGCCGTAAGGTCGAACGCACAATCGGTCAGGTCAGAACAGACTGTGGCTATTGAGAGAACAGCTTGGCTTTTGACTGTCCAGAGATGCCAAGGACACTGATTGGTACTGGTGAGGATTTCGATTATACATTGGCTTATTCTATGAAGTTGGTGCCATGGCAAAATATGGCCGGTGATAATTTTATAACATAGTTTGCATAAAACTAATAGGAATTTATTTTAGTACATTATGCACTATGCAGTACTATGGTATAGATGCTGTGGATAAAGTTCAATTTGGGGTTATGTGATGTGGTCTCACAGTGGGTGACAGTACAGGCTCTGGGACTGAACAGAATTTGGACAATGTGTATGTCCCATGACTATCTCAATTAGTTACTTATAGTTAAACCCATAAACTTTCATTGGTTGGCCCTCCCCCAGCCCCCCGGTTTGGTTTGAATTCAAGATACATGTTATGTTTTGTTTTTCTGAGTCTTTCGAGACAACTCATTTTCCTACGTCACTAAATTCTTGTATGAAGAAAATACTGCTTTAATGATTAAAGTATCACACTACCTATACATACAGAGCCATGGAATTATTCAGCTCTATACACGGGCCATCAGAAGAACGCTCAGGGCCTCAGTGCTGAGCCACACTGATGCTGTGGTAATGTGGTCCAGATCTGGACTGGAAGCAGCAGACCTACCACCACACACTGGAAAGATGGAGCTTCTGCCTGGGAGTTCTCCGCCCAGGTCCCTCGATGTCAGTGGTGTGAGAGAGCAGGCTGGTGGTGGTGACTCTTATGAAGACACTGAGATGATTTTAGAACTATGTGGAGTTTCTAAAATGAAAGCTCAGTATACATTGAGTTTTGGGTTTAGACTGTCTTATTAAAATTAGGCAGGAAAAAGTTTAACCTAAGAAGTTATTTATAAAGTTAGTAGGATGGAATGCAACTATTTTAATTGTATATTTTATTAGTGATATCTAAAAGCTGCTTAACTGCTAGCAGTTAGAATTCTTAAGATTGGGATATGATGGCTTTGTTAAATGTTTGTATATTTACATAATTTAATCATAATTAAACAACCAAATATGTCCTTCCTAGTCTTCACATTGCTTGGGGTAAACAATAACATAGGGAAATGAACGATTCTGTGGGATGTTTTTGGTATTTTTGTATCTCGCTCAGCCTCAGACATGAAGAAGCCATGATTGAAGTTCAAATGTTGAAGTATAGAAGAAAGTCCTCTGCTGCTGAAGATTTTGTTTGGTCTCACTGAATCTGTTCAGAGCCGTGTTAGTTACATGATGACGTGTAGAGTAATGCTTTGTAATTGGAGTAATATTTTCTGCCCACGTTAAATTCTCTTTGGGAAGCTGAAGCAGGAGATTATGAGTTCAAGACCAGCTTGAACTGCCTAACAAGACCCTTTCTCAAATGGTGTGTTTGTGTGCATGTGTGTGAATCTAAGTTGTCAAAGTTTCAACAGGTAAAATTCGAAGGGTAGCTTTTACTTGAAATTTCATTTTCCCTTTTAAGCTACTGTCTTTAGTCTCTGAAGAGTGGAAAATTGATGTTCGGTTATAAAATGGAACACAGTGGACATGTATGTGCCATCAGCTGTCCAGAGCTCACCAGATAAAGCTGTTTTCTTAAGAGGAACACAACGTGAAACCACTTATTTTCCCTGTTCATACAGTAGTAGCTTGGTTTCCTAGTAATACCAATGAATAGACTTTTTGTGAAACCTATACCATGTTTTAACATGGTTTTGTTCTTTGTATGTATGTTGGAAAGCTAGCTTGGCATCTCACAAAGGAGTTGATTTTCTTAGGACATTTTTAAAACCAGCTTTGATTGAACATATCAAAGAGGTATGACATGATTGTGCTGTTGGACTCACAGCATCAGTGAGACAGATTCCGAGAGAGTTTATTTAGTAGGTTAAGGTTCTGTGTTAGAGCCTTCAGGCCTTTAAATTCTAGTATCAGTTCACGGGGTGGTTTGCAATGTGGTGTTTTGCTCAGGTCTTCAGAAGAGAGAGGCGAGGAAAAAACTTCATTGAAACAAAATTCTTTACCTTTACTGATGAGGGAGTATTGGGCCTGTGTAGCCACTTGGTAACAGTTGATGCTCATTGAGTGACTTGGGAATGCTCACACACGTGAATGCTCACACACATGAATGCTCACACACGTGAATGGAAAGCTATAGAGTTGTACTCTGTATGATACAACGGCGGTCCCATGTTTTACTAGTCTGTGATAAGCTATTACTCTGGAAAGTTACTTTGCTTGTTTCATAGATTTTTACATTTAAACAAAACTGCAACTGCCTGCTTGGGTGCAAGCAGCTAATGTGTATGTACCTGTACTCCCAGTGTGAAGACGTGTATCTGCTCGCAATCGTCGCCATATGTAAATTAAGCGAGGCTTTCCTAAAAGATGTGGAAATAAACTCCTGGTTCTTTATTCTAGAAATAAAATCCATGTTTTCCTTCAGAATTTACACTGCAGTAAACAAAAATGTTACTTTAGATAAGGATTTTGGATGTTGACACTGTTAAAGAGTTTGTAATTGTTTGAGTGTGAGTGTGTGGTAAGATAACAGCATCCTGGCCTCTACCTCCTGGGGTCCTGTAGTGACACTCCTTCAGAGACAGTGCTCCAGACTCCCCCCAGATGAGGGGAACCTGCATTGCCTCAGTTGATTTTTCTCATTTCTAGCTGCTATGCCCTGCACTAGTTAAATAGGTGTTTCTCTGAGAACGATAGACAGATCTCATGTTTATTAGGTAAGGGTTTTTCTAGTGTGTCAGTTTTCCATCTTAATATACAGCTGCTGTTTATAGTCAACTAATTGTGCTAATTAATGAGCCTGACTTAGTGGGAAGTGTTTATCTGCAGTGTGGCCTCCAATGTTTTAACTTGGTCTTTAGTGCCATAGTCTACCTTCCTGATTATAAAGTGGCATATTTCATTGAAACGTGATTATGAAGGCCGCTAGTATAATGTGGGCTCTGAAGCAGTTGAAAGCAGTCTGCAGCAGTGTGTAAGTTCAGGAGCAGTGGCCACAAGGATCTGATACACTTGCGTTCGTAAGGTCCAAAGAAACTGATTTTCAAAACACAAATTTCAAGTCCGTTAACTTACTTTGTTGAAGTAACGACTAGTTTCCCAGTAATGTGGGGAACTTAATGGTGACCTTTTTCATGCTTCCAAAGCAGATTGACAACAGCTGTTCAAGTCAGGTCAACTATAACAGGTTTTTGCTATTTTTCTAGAATTCTCTCAAGATCAGAGACAAAATGGTTTAAGGTGAATCTTGGTACCGCTGTTGGAAGTTTGAAGACTGATGATGTTAGCAAAATGGCAGAACTGACGCAAAGTGTCTTTGAAACAAGACCGTTGAGGGAATAAGGTTTGAAACTGCTCAGAAGTAGTGTAAGCAGCTATGATCATTTTAATTGCCTTTTGCACACTAACGGGCTATTGATGAGGTTAATTTGTCAGGAATTTGACTATAGAACAGCAACTGGCCTTGCTTGGTAACTTTGAACAAGTTTCTTGCATAGTGGTTTTCTGCTTTTAAAATCTACATTTGGGCCTTCTAGATAGCTCATGAGAGAGATAAAGGCACTGGCTTCTCCCAGGGCTGCTTGAAGCTGAGTTTGGTCCTTCGGATCCACGTGGTGGAAAGAGAAACAATTCTGGCAAGTTGTCTTCTGATCTCCACGTGAATCTCCACCATCATGGCTTGTGTGCATGGATTCCCCCCCCCCCCAATAAAAATACAATCTACGCTTAAACCATGTTTACCACTTCGTTCCAACATCAGATCTCTACGAAATAAAACCTCAGAAGCCCAGGTGATCACCACTCCTAAAGTGTGTGCTACTGTGGCTCTTACACAGCCTACATGTACATGTCAAGAGTCAAACGGGAGCTGAAAGAGCTCCGGTGTGTGGTGCACATATATATAGATGTCTGTACATGCTTACATGCATGCACATACATACATACAGTCAACACATAAAATGACTAAACATTAAAGAAAACCTTGTTACTGCTATTGCTGTTAGGGACCATCAGGTGAGAGGCTCAGCCACATACAGATACTAGTAAACAGCAAGGTAGTAGGAAAAATTTCTGGTTTAGGGCAGAGAGGCT